GGTTAACCTCTCGACCATGTATGATCAGACGCCAACACGACTTGCCATGATGCTGCTCCCGACGATAGCAGCGATGCACTTCCTGCATCAGAAGGCCCAAGGTGTGGAGATACTCCCCTGGACCGTGCTTACAGAGCTGCTGGAGAGAGTGAAGGGCCTTGGGCTCATCACAAAGGATGAGATATTGAACCTTGCCGTGGAGTTACTCCCGGAGGGTAGGATTCGACAGGTGCTCGCTCACCTCCACTCGATCTCAGGGATCGATGAATGGGGAGAGATCCGATTCAGAAGACGACGAGCCCTGGTTGAACAAGGGATGCAGTACCTCTGCTTGGTACGCATGCATGGTGGAGATTTGCTCTCCCCAACGAGCCTCGGCTACCAGCGGTACGACTTGGAGATAATGGAACGAGAATCCCATATCACGGGATACGTCGCCAGATATCTCCCTTCTGAGTACCAAGAGGCCTATCAAGCTGATGTCCAGACGTTGAGGTCCAAGTTTTTTGCTGAAGACGGCAAACTTAACCTGGCCTCGGCGACGTGGGAGGTACACTACAATCGCCTCAACGCGGCCAGCTCCTGAGCCAAGTGAAATGAGGAGATGCTCCCTAAGCAGGGGCTTCTCTAACAGAAAGAGGAGTTTCTCCCTTTGGCGAAGAGCTGGAGGAGTCACTCCCCAGGGGTTTTTGAACAAGTTCAGATTCTAGGAGGAGTTTCTCCCCTAGTTGGCGGAGTTTCTCCCCCAACGAGGGGTGTATAGATCGTGGAGTCTCTCCCTATGGGTTTTTAAAAGGTTTGCGTCGCTGCCTGCAATAATTCTGTCCGCACTGAGCCACACTGAGCCAACAGCAACTCACCATCCGCGATGCAGGTCTCCTTGTGGTCGCCTGGAGCTCAGTGGCATAGGTCTGACTGCCTGCCTTGAAGTCAGCTTGAGCCCACAACCGCAGCTTTCTTAGCTTTCTCTCAAGACTCGGCATCATGTCCAGACCTGAGTCAACACAGGATCCCTCGTATCAAGCGGAGTACGAGGAATTCTGCCAACGACGGATACGTGACCAACTTCCGCATGTCACGTATCGCAATTTCCTGCGCCAGTGGAGGCGCTCCGCTCGTGCTCACGGTGAAAGCTATCCTACATATAAAGGAGCCTCCAAAGGAACTGGTGGACAGGAAGAGTTAGGAAGTGGAAAGGGTGGAGTCACTCCCCCTCCTCCTCCTTCCAAGAAGAGAAGTACTGGCCAAAGCGAGGGTGGAGATACTCCCCCTGCAGCAAAGGCCAAGAGTGGAGATCCTCCCTCGGGGGACCCAAACACGGAAGCTGCGATCAAAGTTCTTCAGTCAGCTGGCTATACCCCCTTTCCGAGTCTGATTTCAGACTGTGATGGGAACATCACTGATCTGAATAATCACCGAGTAACGGTGACAGTGACCCAGCAGCTGCGAGATGGGCTCACTCAGGTGGAACGACCCTCTCCGGAGATAGCCAATGCTCTCCTGGAGACCTTCCTGGCCTCTCGCCGGGGACTTGCCAATGAGCCTCTGCAACCAAAGCTTGGCTATCCCACAGCTGAGGCGAATGGGTGGTTTCGATTTGAGTATTCTTCACCGAACATTCTTCCTGCAGGGGACAGTGAGGTTGCATTCCACGGAACACACTTGGAATGCTTGCATGGGATACTTGCTACGGGCAGGCTACTTCCTTCGACCCCTGACCTCTCCGGCACGCGAAGCTTCGAGGCACGCCCAGGAGTGTATCTCCACAGGGTGTCAAACAGGCATCTTGCTGCCGGATACAGTTGCATGGTGAGGATAGGACCTCGGCACGTGTTCGTGCGACCAATGTTTGAGGTGGAGGCTGCGCACTCTGGATCGCAAAAACGTGGTAAGAAAACAAACCAACTTATATACTCCTACGAGGCAGTCAAAATCCGAGCGCTGCTACTGCAAATATCGACCAAGGATACACTCACCTTAGGTGAGTACCTCCGCGAGTGGAGTGGCTTGTTGGAGATACCACTGAGACAAGCACGGGCATCCTTCTCGGCGTTGGGATACGAACTGCCTGGCGAAGCCTCGTCAAGTGGAGCTAAGGAAGGTGGAGCTGCTCCCCTTCCAGACAGTGAGCCGGCGTCCAGCTCACAGGGTGGAGTTCCTCCCCCGACAAGGGCGTCGGACGACCATAGCTCCACAACGCCACGTAGCTCCACTATCGTGGCCTGGGAGGGACAACCCGGCGATCTAGGGGGCTATTGCACTGCCTCCACGAAGCCTGAGAGCAACTTCTCGTTCGAAGTCTCGAAGGCCCTAGCAGCTCTGCTCCGGCACGGACACCAACCCTACATCAGCGTGACTTCGGCTGGTTGGGCCAAATTAGAGGACGTCTTGAGCTGGCCAAGAGTGCAGGCACAGCACGCCACGGCAGGCGACCTCATGGAAGTCGTCCGGAGTAATGCAAAAGGCAGGTACGAGCTTGGTGATTGCCAAGGCCAGAAGTACATCAGAGCCCTGCAAGGACATTCTCGCTCCGATGTGGACTCCAACGAGGTGTTGGAGGAACTCACGGAGGAGATGCTCCCCAAAATGCTCTACCATGGCACATTCTGGTCCTTGTATGACTCCATACGTCAACGTGGCCTTTTGCCTCAGAACAAGATCTCCAAGGGCCGCGGCAAAGGCGGACGTGGCAGAGAGGGACGACAGCATGTTCACTTCGTCTCGGATCGGGACTATGGGAAACCTGGTGTTTCTGGTTTCAGAGATAGCTCGTCGATGCTGATAGCTGTCGATCCACGCAGGGCCATGCAGGTAGGGGTGCAATTTTTCCGTAGCAAGAACGGCGTCATTCTCACCCCTTCCGTAGTTCCCCCCTCTGTCATAGAGTACTACCAGAGCCTGAAATCGGGCACTAAGTACGGAGGCGATAACAGGCCGCTCTGATCGTGAGGACTCCCCCCTATTGGTGGAGTTCCTCCCCAAACAGATAATGCAGCTGCTTGTGCAAAAATCTGTTATGAGACTGAAGGTTGCTTCACCTTCATCACCAGATAGCAAATGTACCCTGAGGTCGCACTCGAAGCTCTGCGCGCAGTCACGGGCCTGGTTCTGCAAGTGAGTAGTCAGCCAAAAGTCTTCTGGAAGCTTACTGGCACTCTCGCACAGGCTCAACTCGCCAGCTGTCTAGACTGTAGAAGCCATGCCTGAAACACCGAAGAAGAATGGCAACAGAGCGACCTCCCGCACCCCTCCTCCAGTGAGACGTCGGCCTCACATCTCCAGGTCGCCACCACCAAGTGACTCAATCCGGGAGTCCGACTCCGAAGACACTGCGGTCCCTACAGGGGCCCCTGCAGCAGCTGGGCCTAAGGGTCCTCCGCCTCCGAAGCCTGTTAACTTGCCAGGAAGTGGATCCAGCACAGATCGGACAACGGGCCCAGGTAAGGCACCTGGAGTGCCAGCGAAAGGAGGAATCCCGGGAGGAGTTTCTCCCCTGGGACCACCGCCAAAGGCCGTTACCTCAACGATATCCCACCCGGGGACAGGAGAGCTTCATGTCACTAGCACAAGTCCGACAGGAGTTGCTCCGTCAGCTACCAATAGCAACAACGGGCTGGAAATGGCGCCTGGCCTACCTTTACTGAGTGTCTCATTGCCTCACCGCCTTCATTATAACATAGAGCTAGTGGTTCGTACTGAGCCCTCACAGCGAGGCTAGACACCCCGCGAGACAGCAGAGTGCAAAAAGAATGTCGCCAATCAGTCAGCGATGCATTGCAAATCAGCCGGAGAACTACAGCATAAGTGCCAGAGTCTGCATCCAGACTCACTGAAGACACGTCTGATCCCGACTTCATTGCTTGCAGCCTTGAGGGGCGGAGCGTGTGCGAGTGCTGTGTTAAGGCACGGCTCGTCATGAAGTGACCGCGCAATTAGCAAGCAGAGCAGTAGGTCGATCCCTCGCAAAGCGTGGACGTCAAGTTTCACCACAGACAGTATCCTCCCGCTGCGTGTGAATGAAAATGTTGTTCTGTTGTAGGGTTTAGGGTTGAAAGGTCTAGGGTTTAGGTTGTCTTGTGCTTGTTAAGATTAATGGGTATTTCAGGGTTGTGTCGGGGTTGAGGGTTATAGGTTTTTTTTTACAGGGGATTTCGTAGGAAGTTTGCAAGGTTTGGGATCCAGGCTTCAAGAGATTTGGTTTGCTAGGTCTCTCAGGAGTGGTATGAATGAAAGCAGAACAGAGTAAAAGGTACCCTTGTTTTTCAGTTTGCTATTGGGGAACTCAGTTTAGGTTGAGGTTTGTAAGGGTTTTGAGGTTTAGGTTCCGGTGGGTCGGGCGTTTGGGTTGTCGGTGGCTTCAGGGGTTTAGAGTTTCGCGGTATCTATGTAGCGTCCACCTCAGAGTCTCGATGGCGTTGAACTCACCTAGAACAGCTTCCACGTTATGCCAGCATTTATTAGCAGGGCTAGCTGTAAGTCGGGATCCGGAGCAGTGAGGCTGTGCGATTTCCCTCCCACCCCTAAGAGACTAACATGTCCTTAATGTTGAAAACATCGCAGTGGTGAAGGTGCATGCGCTGCGGTTCAACCCGAAGCCCTAAAGCCCTGACCAAGGATGGCCCGAGGCCCTACACCCCCTCCCATGGCGGGGGTTGTTCCATGGATGTCTTTTCCAAGAGGACTTGGGCAGACAAGAGCCGTCCTACTTCAAGCCCCAAGGCCAAAAACCCCAAACCCGGAAACCTAACACTCATTCTTGCCTAGGGTGGTCTAGTCATACTACTCCTTCAGGCCCCTTACCATGTCTTTAGCATCGTATTAATGAGGCCCCTGCATAATCTTCTTAACCCTCTACAACATCCATTAAAGAACAGCCGCTCATCACCCCCCAATAGTCTCCGGTATAAAATTAGGGTCCCTTTTTGGGTCCTTATTATAATACGGCACCTAATAATTAGGGTACCCAAAAAGGGATCCTAAGTGTGACAACCACCCGTGAGGCTGGCGGGGTCTCGCTGAGCTGGAGGAGGACCGGCGGGTGCAGATGTTTGTTTGTTTCGTTCTTGCAGGGGGGTTGGGGTTAGGGGTTCCTTTAAGGGTTCCTCTCAGGATGACTACAACGGATCCATGAGGGTACCATTAGGGCTTTAGGGGTTTCGGGTTTAGGGATTTAAGGGTTTACGGATCAGGGTTGTTGGGGGGTTATTGCGGCCCTCGTGGTAAGCCAACCCTACATAGCGTTCTCAAACCTACTAAACCCCGATATTGAACCCGGGCACAGGAGTGGTGGAAGGCGCAACGACCAGAGGAGCCCCTCCGAGCGGCCGCCTTTTTGGACTTTCTCCGGGCTGGCTCCCCAGAGGGCGCAGCGTGGAGGGTGCTTGGGGGATCCTGATCTGAAATCTTAAACAACTTGAAAACCCGAACCCATCGAAATCCGCAACAGGTAACCGCTAGACTTAGGCTGCACCTCCTAGACCTTACAACCTTAAACCCTAACCCTGAGCTGCTCTGGATCGGGATTCGAAAGCTGTGGCTTTCAGGGTCTTGTCACTGAATAATTTCCCACACTGTTTTGGGAGTTCTTGATTACAATTCTAGTATAGTGGGCCCCCAGACCCTGGTCTAATTATTAAGGTTCCTAAACCCTAAACCCTAAACCCTAAACCCTAAACCCTAAACCCTAAACCCTAAACCCTAAACCCTAAACCCTAAACCCTAAACCCTAAACCCTAAGGCTTTAGGAAGCTTACGTCGCTGATTTTCAGGCCGCGGGTTCGCTAAGAGCCTCTTGTGCACCGAAAGCAACTCTAAGGGATTAAGTCAGTAAAGGGAACTCCAGAAAGTTGGAATAAGGGCTCCTTTAAGGGGATGTATAGGGTGTTAGGGTGTTAGGGTTCTGGGAATAGGGTTGGGTTTAAAGGGAACTCCAGAAAGTTGGAATATGGTTTCAGGGTAGGATACCCGATAATTTACCATAGAAGGGTTTAGGATAATCATATTCCAACTTTCTGGCTTTTACTTTAGGCTTCCTTTTTTAAGGGTTCTCTTTTAAGGGTTCGTATAAGGAGTGCTATAAGGTTTAGGGTTTAGGGTTTTGGGCTTAGGGTTCAGGGTTTTGGGCCTAAACCCCAAACCCTGAACCCTAAGGTAGATCATACGTATGTAGCCTGCTTGGGGTAGTTTTGGCACCAGGTACAATCGACAGAAGCCCCAGAGCCTGACAGGCAGCATTCCGTCGTCCTTTCTCCCCCCGTCTTTCAACATCAGACCCCGAAGCGCCAATCCCACGACCGAAGCCTAAACGCTAAACCCGAACAACGAGACTTTCAACTCGAAACCCCTTAATCCAGGATCCCTTTCATCCAGAGCACAAACACTCTTCGAAGCTTCCTCAATGGGTCCTTGAAGCGATCCATAAACGGATCCCGGAGCAAGACGACAACCGCAGGCTCGCACAGAGTCGCGGATCGTAGTCGTCTCTCACGGTGCCTTCTTGGGCTACATTGTGAGGCCCTCAGGATTTGAAGGGTTAAGGGTTTAGGATTGGCTACATTGCTGGGCCCCCCGTGCTTGGAGGATTGGTTTAGGGGGGTGTTGTTGCGGAAATCTTGGGAGCCTGCCCGTGTGGTACGAGTTCGCATGGTGCCTCTCGCGCCAGAGCAGCAGAGCTTCTGGCTTTCTCCTTTCAGATCAGCTGAGATAGAAGCCTAAACCCCAAACCCTGGGCCCCAAAAAGGAAACCTGAGGCGGTAAACCCCAAAACCCTAGGCCCTAAACCCCAAACCGTAGGCCTTAAACCCTAAACTTGAAACCCTTGGCCCTATACCCCAAACCCTGGGCCTTAAACGCTAAACCCGAAAACCCCCAAAGCATGGACCCTAGGTCTGGATTGCGGGCTGCTGCATGGAACCTCTAAGCCCCGCACCTTTTTGTCCTGCTTGACCTCTTTGTCAAAGTAAGTATGGGCAGATTGGGTTTAGGGTTTAGAGTCGCGGGTACATAAGCAAGTAGAGAGGATTCACGGTTTAGGGTACAGCAAGTCTGGGCAGCCGCTCATATCCTGATAGGACAGTTGCCCGGCCGTTCCAGTCTCGGCAAGCCGATGTCCTGAAAGTCAAGCTTCCCCCACCCTAGACACAGATTATTATGTACATGAACATGTGTACTTACAAAAGACACATGAATAAGCTGTATGTATACCGCTACATATGTATCTGTGTATATGTCTAGGGCATGTATATGTGCATGTATATGCATACGTGTGCATACATTTGGGTATGTATGTACGCAGAGACACACACAAACATGTGTGTGTGTGTGTGCGCGTGTGTCTGTCTGGTTGTGTTTCTGTGTTTCTTGTACGAAGACACACACACACACACAAACATGTGTGTGTGTGTGTTTGTGTGTGTGTGTGTGTTTGTGTTTGTGTGTGTGTGTGTGTGTGTGTGTGTGTCTGTCTGTCTGTCTGTCTGTCTGTCTGTCTGTCTGTCTGTCTGTCTGTCTGTCTGTCTCTCTCTCTGTCTGTCTGTCTGTCTGTCTGTCTGTCTGTCTGTCTGTCTGTCTGTCTGTCTGTCTGTCTGTCTGTCTGTCTGTCTGTCTGTCTGTCTGTCTGTCTGTCTGTCTGTCTGTGTCTGTCTGTGTGTCTGCGTGTTTGTGTGTTTGTCCGTCCGTCCGTCCGTCCGTCCGTCCGTCCGTCCGTCTGTCTGTCTGTCTGTGGGTCTGTCTGTCGACATGTCTGTGGGTCTGCCTGTCAGTCTCCGTCTCTCTGTCTTTCTACCTCTCTATCTCTCTGTGTATCTGCCCCCTCCGTGTTTCTGGCCCTGCCTGTGTAAACGGATGGACGGATGGTTGGAGGGAGGGACGGATGCATGTATGTATGTAGGTAGGCAGGTAGGTGTGTATGTATGCATATAGATACATGCATCCCCGCAAGCATCTCGGCTGAGAGCTACGACTGGACGTCGTGACGGGAAGGGCTAATGCCCGAAGGGCCCAAGAGCTGGCCCATCTGGAGGCCCGGGGTGCCTCTTCTCCTGCTGGTTTTGTTGTCGGGTTCGCAGAGCGGTTTAATCCTGAACCCTTTGGAACTTGACTGGGATAGCTTGAGAAGGCCCCCCTGGCAACGAAGCCTCAAGCCATGGCAGCCATGGAAGAAGTTGCTGTGCATGGGTCAAACAAGCAGCCCCGTCGCTTCTACGAGATCGATCCACTGGGAAACAGAGTTAGAGCCGCCGTGGAACAGCAGCTGTTTCTTCACATGTGGCAGCAGCAAAGCATACGGGTACAAATGGCACTCAGGCGACGCTGCGACTTACGTTGGGAATCTGCCTCTGCCTTCTGCATTCTGTATGAAGCGTGGTTTCTGCTCCGAGCTCCTCAACGCATGGCAGTACTTTGGGATATTAGCTTGCTGGATCTCGAGTTCTGTTCGGCCATGGTTCCTGTACTTTGCATTCGCCAACACCCAGAACTGGATCTCATGGACTAGCTCATGGACTAGATCCCAGAAGGGGCTTCGGCACCTGTGCATAGAATTGCAACGAGCTTGGTGTGGAGCCTGGAAGCTGCAAGCAACTGGCTTTTCCTGCCCAACGCCCCCTCTCGAGGCGGCCCTTCGGTTTAGTTTTCCCACGGGGATTGTTTTAGGGATCATTCTGTGTAGCCTGCCGCGACACTTGCTACCTTGGCTGTGCAGCATCGACCCACAGGTGTTCGTCCGAGCCAACCTGCGACCACCAGATGTGATTCAGTGCCCTTGTCATGTTCACCAGGGCGCAGTTATACTCATGGTAGCATGTAGGTGCCTCAGCTGCTTACATCGACGATTGTTTCGACATTTTCCGAAGGCACAGCCAGGATGCCCTAGCAACCCTGCAGCCAAGGGCAACATGGCCAGGGAGAACGGCGAGCCAGTTGGCACAAGAGGCGGCGCTGGCTCTGGCTCCGATGAGTCCGACTTCCAGGTGGCGAGCTCCGGATCGGGCTCGGTGCACGTTCCTCGGCCTGGCTCGCCCCTACGAGGGCCTCCGCCACCGATCCCAGTGCAGTGGCAACACGAGGAGATGAACCTCTCGAGTCGCCTCTCCCAGGCTGTTGCTCAGGTCTGGGGTGAAGCTGGCCGCAGTACTCGGATGGCACTGACCATTGTGGAGCCCGGGGCGGAAGCGGCGCAGCAGTTGTCCATCAGGATCTCCAGAATGCGACCGGATGAGGCATTCCACCCGTGGACGGTGGTACTTGCCGATGATGCCGAGGACTTGGAGCTCATCGAGTCGGAGGCCCCACTGGGGGGTCGCCTCTCACCAGCTGAGGCTAGGACGGTTGCTGATGTCCTCAGGGCAGGTGGCGTGCTCGCTGCAGATTCCGAGGGGGCCACAACCATGCGCGGCCCAGATCGATCTGCCGATAGGCTGTCCACTATCTCAGCGGCGTCTACGACACCGCCTGATCCAGGACTGCTCTCAGGACTTGCAGGCTCCGCTACCACTGGCTCCGCTACCACGGCCCCTACACTCACGGCCACAGCGGTCATGACACATGGGGAGCCGAGCACCATGATGCACAGCACCGCCACTCCCAAGCCGAAGAGCAAACGGAAGGCCACGGCCAACCGCAAGCGAGGGCCCCAGTCGCTACGGTCCATGATCTGCCGTGTTCGCATTGGGTTTCTCTCCCTTTCGGTTCCTTGTGGTTTAGACCTCACCTTCCCACCCGCTCTCTTGACCCCAGGCGCCGCCGGGACTCCAGTGAATAGGGGCGTACCTGTAGGATTGCTGAGCCCGAGCCTCACATGGCCAGGCAGTGTAGGCTTTGCATGTTGGAGTGCATTTTTGGGCCTCTGCCGTGGATGCCGTGGATTCTTACTTTTGATCAAGGGCCTTCTACAGCCAAAAAAGGCGACAGCCTACCGGACGATTTCGCACTGGCATACAGGAGCCACTCTGCTAGTTCGAACGCCTGGGCTCTGGCATATGGTCCGGAAAAGAACTTCCACAGCATTGCCGTCTGATGCATCACTGCCTTTGCCACTGTCACTGTCTTTGCCAACCACATTGAAGAGTCTGCTGCCGGCCAGGTACTCTATTGCATCCCGCTTGTGTACCACGGTGCGAGCCTCGTCCGGAGCAGCATGCCAGTGGTTGGATCTACTCCAGCAGCTGCCCTTGGTGATCAGGTCAGTCACACTGGATGCAGAGGCCACCTCTTGGCCCAAGAGGCTCACGAATCAGCCGACAGGTCGGGCACATGCAGAGCTCTCCCGTACGCCCTCAAACTTCCGTGTTGTACAGGCCTTGGTGCACCTTCTCGTCTTCATTGCGGGTTTCTACCTCAGCACGTCGACCTACCTTCACGGAGCCCTTCAGCTGGGAAGCATGTGTGTCTTCCACCTGAGGGCCAGCCTGGCACGACCTCCCGCACGACAGCCCGCTCCAGCACACAGCCGTCTGGGTCCCAAGTCCCAGAGCCGCCGCTATGGCCAATGGTGTAGAACACTACTTCAGGTTCTGTGTCTCATCTACCTTCCCACTTTAAGCACAGCAACTAGGGCGGCAGATGCGAGGGTTGGACTCCCCACACACCAAGGGAGTCCGGGAGCACCATCCATTGCTCATATCTCGCACGAGGAGGCGAAGCGTGGTGATCTCAGCCACGGCAGCTCCTCTCTTCATGTTTCATCCAGGGCGACTCCGAAGAAGAGGGCCTTGCAGCGAGCCATCACCAGGGCGTCCAGGAACGCCGATCTCCATACGTGGTACAGAGGACGCCGAGTGCATCTTCGCACCCTGACTCAAGGCCATGTAGAGACCCTACATCAAAGGTTGGGTAGACGTCTTCGCGTGGTCTGTTGGAACTCGGGGGGGCTCCACACCGTAGCTTATCAGGAAGTACTACAGTGGCTCTGCCGAGAAGATCAGGCCAACAGACCGGTCGATGTTATGTGTATCGTCGAAACAGCCTGGCGTGAGGACTCTGAGTTCACGACTAGAAGAGACCCCAGCCTGCCGAAGGCTCCACAATGGCATGCTGTACATACTGGCAGCAAAGAGAAAGCCGGAGTCCTATGTCTCATTCGGGCCTCACTGCTTGGAGCTGATGACATTCGGTACAATGTGCTTCAGGCTGGTCGCTTGTTGCACATCAGACTGCAGCTCCAGGTCCCGCTAGACATTCTTTGTGTCTATCAGATCGCATGGAACCCCAGCCGGGCATCATTGGCCCCGTCCCACAAGGCCGAGCAGCTGGTGCAGCAACGTGACAAGCTGTGGCGGAAGATGTCGCAATGGGCGGCTACCATCCCGCTCAGGCACGGCTTTCTCATGCTGGGCGATTTTAATACGCCTCTCCAACAGGAGCTTCCATACTGCGGCCCAGGCCTCGCCTCGGCAAAGGATCCCCCGCAAAAGGACCGTGAGACCTTCCAGACCTTGCTTCGACAAGTTGGAGGCCGGGCTCTGAATACGTGGTCTACTTCGGGATGTCCCGCACGAACCTACTTGCCCC